TTTGCGCTCCTTGCACCACTGAAACCGTCGTTTTGCGTTGGCACGAGTGACCAAAGGTTTAGCTATAGCAGCCCGGCCGTGTATATTGAACCTGTGGAGCTCCCGACGGACAGTTTTGGTGGAAACAGGAGAGTTGAGGTGCACATTTAATTCTGCCGTGATTTGGGCAGCCGTGGTTTTATGTTTTTTGGATACAATCCGGGTTAGTACCCAAACATCCTTTTCAGACAGCTTCCTCTTGCGTCCACAGTTAGTCCTGTTGGATGTGGTTCGTCCTTCTTGGTGGTATGCTGACATTACCCTGGATACCGTAGCTCTTGATAAATCACAAAGACTTGCTGTCTTGGTCACATATGCGCCAGCAAGACGTGCACCAACAATTTGTCCTCTTTTGAATTCTGGTATGTCACCCATAATGTTGTGTGCATTGCAATATTTTGAGCAAAACTGTGCTTTTGCCCTGCTAATTGGACCTTCACAGTCTGCTCTTATTTGTTCAATGTGCAATTAATGAAGATTGGCCACCAGGCTGGTCCAATTTAGCCATGAAACCTCCCACACTAAAATGAGAGGTGTTTCAGTTTCACTGTCCAACCCCTGTAATTCATGCTAAATATGAACACCCTGATACAGCTTTGCTTTCACTTGATGCAGAAAAAGCATTCGATAGAGTGGAACATAGTTACCTCTACAAAGTTCTCTCTCAATTTGGTTTTGGTAGTTATTTCATAAACTGGATTAAAATACTTTATAATAAACCATCTGCCTCAGTTATAACTAATAACATTTTATCTAAATCATTTAATCTCGGTCGGGGCACGCGTCAAGGTTGTCCCCTCTCGCCCCTCCTCTTTGTGCTGGGAATTGAGCCATTGGCTATTGCCATAAGGAATAATCAAAACATACTGGCGTCAGGATAAAAAATATTGAATCTAAAATTGGACTATTTGCCGATGATATTATTTTAATGTTGTCCAATCTAAATTGCTCAATCCCCCAACTTCTTGAAACTATCAATGAGTTTAGTTATATTTCCGGTTATAAACTTAACAAATCTAAATCCGCCATCCCATTTTTAAAACAGGCTGAAAGAAATAACCCTCCAATTCATACAACATTTCAGGTGGCAAAAGAGAGCCTTACTTACTTGTATTAAGTTCTTCTTGTCTTCGTCTGTGTTAGTCATGCTTTTTGTTTTCTTTGGGTCAGACAATAGTAATCCACAAGAATGTTTTACCTTGTTGACATGTTTCGGCTGCCAACTGCAAGCCGTCCTCAGAACTGTCACCGGTGGAGTGGGTGACATGCCATTAACAGATGTTACTTCCTGTAGGCGTGGCCAGCCTGTACAGACCGCACAGGTCTGCCAGACTGGCCACGCCCACAGCCGCCCTTTGGTCTCTGGAGGATGCTGTCCCATGTGGGTGAGAGGAGAAATGTTCCTTCGTCTCTGTTGATTGTTTCTGTGCCTCGCCTCCTGATTTCCATTGCCTCCTTTATCCAGCGTTTGAATTTGTTGGTTTCGGATCCAACGATGTGTGCCCCATCCCAGTCCATAATGTGGTTATTTCTCTTGCAGTGATCTGATATGGCCGATTTCAGGTTTTTCTTGTTCCGCTTTGTCTTTTTTCGTTCTTGTGAGTCTCCCTTTTGTTTCTTTTTCACACTCTGTTTGGTGCTCCTTTTTTCTTGTGCTAAAAGCCCGTCCTGTTTCACCAATGTATGTTTTATTGCAGGATTTGCATGGGATTTCATAAATGATATTGCATTTTTTATCTTGTGTGATCTGGTCCTTGGGGTGAACTAAAAGTTGCCTGAGTTTGGTGTGTGGTTTTACTACTGTGTTAATGTTATGTTTCCTCATCGCCCTCTGTATTGGTTCTTTTATGCCCCGTATGTATGGTAATATGACTGTGCTTTTGTATTCCGGTGTGTCCTGTAGTTTCCTTTTTTTCTTCTGTTTGCTGGTTTTGTTTCTGACTTGTTGCTTTCCCCTGTTTATGGCCCATTTTGGATAGTGACATTGTGTGAGTACCTGTTCTATATATTTCTCCTCTTCCTCTCTGTCAGCTGGGTCTGTGATGATGGTGGCTCTTTCATATAATGTGCGTACGACGGATAGTTTGTGTGCGATGGGGTGCTCTGATGTCCATAGTAAGTATTGGTCGGTGTGGGTAGGTTTCCGGTAAACTGTTATCTTTATGCTGCCGTCGTTGTTGTGGTGAATCTTTATGTCCAGAAAAGCAATGCTATTGTCCTTCTCCTCCTCATGTGTAAACTGTAAGCCTTACTTACTTAGGCATAAAAATGACTCCAAACATAGATGATCTGGTTCGGGCAAATTACACGCCGGTGGTTAATTCAATAATGGAATCGCTTGATAGATTGTCTATCTTGCCTATATCTATGATTGGCCGTATAAATATTCTCAAAATGAACGTTCTCCCTAAATTCTTATATCTTTTCCAGGCTATCCCCCTTAATCCTCCTGACGTTTCTTTTTACAAAAATTCAAACAATCCTAAATAACTTAATTTGGAACAACAGACGAGCCCGATTATAGTTATCCTTACTATATCTTCCATATGACAGAGGTGGGCTGGGTGGGCCAAATTTCAAGTGGTATTATTGGGCTGCTCAGCTCTCTAGTGCTTCTTGCTGGTTTTCAGCAACTGATATGTCGTGGGTAAAAATAGAAAATATAAATCCCACTCCTTTATCCCTAAATTCATATCTATACTCAAAGAAATGCAAAGAGTTATTAAAAAATACTTCCAACCCATTTGTTAAAAATACTATCTGAGTATGGTATGATGTACATAAATTCAAAAATGAAATACCAACCCTATCCCAATTCTCCCCGATCTGGGGCAATATGTCATTTGAACCAGGTTGGAAAGACATGGGCTTTAAAATATGGTTTGCTAAAGATTTATGCAAAATCTCTAATTTATTTGATAATGGGATTATGATGAGGTTTGAAGATTTGAAACAAAAATTTGACCCTCCAACTAAACATTTTTTTAAATTTTTGCAAATCAGAAGTTTCGTCTTGGGTACTCAAAAGTCTCTAACATTGCCTACTCTTACTTCGATAGAAGAATTGGCAACAAATGACTATTTGAAGAAGGGCTAATATCCCGCTTTTACAACATCATCAAAGACAGCTCCCAGACATCCTCGGAGCACAAACGACTGGCTTGGTGTGAAGACTTGAAATGTAACATATCAGTAGAGGAATGGCAGAGGGCCTGTCTAAAGGCACAGACACAATCTATTAATACTCAATTTAAGTTAATCCAATACAAATGATTGATGAGAACATATGTTACTCCAACATTACTAAATAAATTTAATTCCAACATCCCGGATACATGTGCCAAGTGTGGAGATAAAGGCAGTTTGATTCATTGCCTTTGGGAATGTCCATAGATTCAGAAATTTTGGAAGGAGGTTTTGGATAAACTTTCACTTATCATTGGTATTGATCTCAATCTCTGTCCTAGGTTGTGTGTCTTGGGAATTTTTCCCACTCAAACTCAAATAAGCAAGGTCGATCAAAAGTGTGACGATCTGGCTCCGCCCACCGGCTCACTCACTCCCTGCAATCAGCGACATTGGTCGCACCTGTCCTGGTCAGTACTTAAGCACCACTCACTCACTCACCTGGGCCAGAACGTCTCTAAACAAACGGTGTGAGTACTTCCAGCATTATTATTCTGCCTGCCTGCCTGATACGACCTGACTGACCCTGTTTTCCGAGCCTGCCTGTCCCTCGTCTGATTCTCCTGCCTCGCCTGAGTTCTGCCTGGTCTGACTCAGTGCCCTGCCTGCCTGCCCGTGTCCCCGACCCAGCCTGCCTGACTCCGCGCTCCCGCCTGATCTTCTGGACTGCTTACCCGGCCTTGACCCCCACTCGTTCTGGACCACGTTTTGGATTACCCTCCTGATTGCTGCTGGACTGACCACACGGTGCCGACCTTGCCTGCCTGACCACGCCCACAGGATATTCCTGAGAATAAACCTGTTTGAACTGACCGTTGCCTCAGGGTGTTTTTGGGTCCAAAGAACGATCATTACAAAAAGTCCATAATTTATTGTTTGGTGCAGGCTAAATATAGCAGAGCCAGGTCCTGGAAATCTGTAACCAGACCCCAACTAAAAACTTGGATGTCTACATTATCAAGCTCTCTTGCCTTGGAGAAACTCACCTTTATGATTAAGGGGTAAATACTATGTGTTCCAAAAGATATGGGAAAAGTTTTTGCTATTCTTGGAAAATGTAAGTATGAGGATTAACTGAATGTTCTTTAGCTAATTTTGATTATGTTTTTATTCTCATAGTGACTGTAAGCCTGTTATCTTCCTGTTAATTCCAAATGTACTCACTTGCTCAAAATTGTATGAAACTTAAACACTGACGTCTGGATGCATAGAACCAGGAAGGACATTGCCTTCACCTCATATCTAGCCTGTGGACTGTGATTAAATCTCTTTGACTAAGTCTCAACATACTCCCCTGAGATATCAATCTTAAAATATTTTGTCTCACTGTAATCAACTAATGCTGGTCACCTTGAATGTTTAAATTGTTCATGTGTTTTCTCTTCTATTAATTTTGTTAGGTGTTTTGTGCACTTGTGAGTTATTTGTCTGTATGTCTCTTTGAATTGTAAAAGACAATAAACAGATTTTTGAAAAAGAAAAAAAACTTTTTCACACTTTGTTATTCCCTAACACCCATCCCAATCTTGCTCTGGTATGTGACTTCTAATTTATCTTTCAATGCACGATATCCTGTCTCCACATTTGTCCCTTAGTTTTTGCTATTCGGACTAATCCCAGTCAAATCCTTTGATTGTATGTTAAGACCAAATCCATCTCTAAAAAAGCAATTTATTGGGTTGCATGACACTTGTTGTTAATACAAGTATTTACATCCAATCCACTAGTTAAATTACTTTATAAGTGCTTTTCATGAATAGAAGGAGATGTGCCATTTAATTAGGCAGAGTGTGAACCAAAGTCATCCCCACAACGTCTCCAAGGTTTCTTTTCTTTAAAAAAAAAAAAAAGTTTAGGGCTTTGTTGTAAAAGGTACATACGTTTTCCGATTTCTGAGATAGATGAGTAAACTGGGAGATGCTTTGAAATTAAGAAAAGCTTCATGTTATGAATTTGGGATATATACACTACCAGTCTTGGAATGATAATTATGCACTTCCGAATTATACATTAACAGCCAAAAACACCAAAAAGACATTCTGGTTTAGTCAGTTAAGGCATAGTGTAATGATCTGCCATAAACCTAGACCTGCAAACAGTGATTGGTCATCTATTTGAAACTAAATTATTCACAAATTTATTTTGTTTTTTTTCTGAAATATCTCAATCTTTTATGCTCATAAAACTGCATGCATCACAAAGAACATGAATGTGAAAGCAGGTTACTCTAGCTAGCAATCAAAATATGACACATAATCTGTTGGCAAACATTTGGATGCATGTGAGAGCTAGAACTGTTATATCAATATGAAGAAATAATTTCCCAACACACAGCACACAACACACAGAACTTCAGATGAGAAACATAGAATGTTACAAACTGGGTCGGACCCAAAGACACCCTGAGGCAGACGGTCAGTAAAGTGGGATTTATTCAACGGAGTCAGGGGTAAATCCAAGAGAGTCCAGAAACCAGTCCAGAGTCGAAACCAAGGTGGCAGTCCAAGGGAGCAGGCGGGATCTCGAGGTCACAGGCAGGCGGGTTCGAACACGTGCAGGCAGTCAGAATTGGGCAGGAGAATCAGACAAGGGTCAGACAGGCTCAGGAATCAGGCAGACGGATCAGGCGTGGGTCAGGCAGGCTCGGGAATCAGGCATACAGAAGGCAGGTCGAATAAACAGGCAGACAGAATAATTATAATGCTGGAAGATCTCACCAATCAGAATCAGAATCAGAATCAGAAATACTTTAATAATCCCAGAGGGAAATTATTTTTGTTACAGGCTCCATAAACAAAACAAAGGCATATACATATGTACATGTCTATACATATATACATATATATATACAAAATTCCTCATAAATATAGCTAGGCTTGATACGTTCAGCTTGTTAACTTTTTAGTACACTGTAATGTGTGGTAATATCTGCTGATAGGAGTCCTTCTATGCTTGTGCCATCATTAATTTTGTGATTAGTGAAATTCTCTATTCTATTCTGTGAATTAAAGAAAGTGTCTGACACATGCCTGGAACTAAAACCAAAAACAGACAATTGAGCAGTATAAACAGAGCTCCTGACAGAGTTAGTGTTTCTTACAATCTCATCAGTAAGAACTTTGTGTGGAAAGAGCACAGCCTGAAGCTGCTGCTGGTGCACAGAGAACGTTTTGTTAACTGTTAACTGTGCGGAGCGGGTGACTTCAGCCAGTTAGTCTCCCATCCTCCTTTCTGTGAAACACTGCTCAACACTGACATGGCTGACAGTTAATTATGGGGGCCACAGATCACGCTGGCATGTCAGCTTGACTACGATTGACATGCTGCATGTTTACATCTCTGTTGTAATGTTGTTTTCTAGTTATTTTCTTAGCAGCAGTGCTGTTATTTAGTTGCAGAAGTGCCCCAGGGCTTGCCATAATGATCGTAAAAGCAGCATAGATTCAGTGAGGTGAAACATTAAAAAGGACTTGTGGGTATAATTGGAGAACCTGCCATCACAGTAACTTTGCAAACATTTTGGGTCAGGCTGTTAAAACCTGCACATTCTCTAGTTAGATCGACTGTCACTCTCTAGTTAGGTTTCCTCTCAGTTCCATTATTTTCTCCTAACACCTCAAAAATCACAAAGTTTTTCTGACAATGGCTCCCACCAAGTAAACCTGACATTAAGTTTCATGGACAAATATAAAAACAAGTAAATATATTAATTTTGACAGAGTAATATTCTGAAATTGTATCATTGGAAGTTGTAATCCAGGGAGTCGGTGTCAGGGAAAGGAAGGAAAGCACGAACGAGTCAGCCACATCATCTCAGAATGCCAGAGAACTAAACAAAAAAAAAGTTTTGATTTTCTGTAACACACGTTACAACTAGGAAAGATTTATGCGTGGTCGGTAGTAAAATCTGCTTACACAGACTGTGCTGCATTCCATTAAAAACCTAGCTTTGATTAAAACAGATAGTTTTTCACCTGGAGGAATCCAGCTCAACAAGAGGCCCAGAAGAGACAGGTGCTTCTGGGGCAGCAGTTCATTCAACAGACACAGATGACAACAAGCCCTTGCTGTCTACTTGAGTTTTTTATTGGCTAAACCCAGAAAGTGTAGTTTCTAGCTATATGTTCAATATTTAATTTCAAAGCTGCTGCTTGGAAATTTTTACTGAAAAAGATATTGGCAAAGTTTACTGTCAAATAAGAGGAAATGGCATAATGAAGCATAAAAAACAGATGAATAATCTGAAAAAAGTCTGCCAGGACCACATGTCCCATTTCGCTTAAGGTGTATTCCCTTTTATACATTAGCTGGCTCTCTGAAAGGAACCAGTTATAAGGATTTCTCTGCAAGATTTTAGACATTTTTAAAGAGATTTCCCTATTTTAAAGTGGTGTTTTTATGAGTTGTCGGAGTACCTGCAATTTATAGTGTTAAATCCACATCAGGTCAAGCATTTCTTTAATTTTATTTGACACTCAGGCTTCCCTCAAATCAACTCAGCAGGTGGTAATTTATCCCATCTAAAACAAGTGAGATCCATGCGAAAGCTATACTTTTTTTTTTACCTCAGTGTAAGACATTTACACATAGGCACTATAATTTATTATAAGATATAGTGTTAGTTTTCCAACTCAGTCTGTAGTATTTTGTAAATCACTCAAAATTGGGCTGAATTTACACTTATGCTTGCCTAGAAATGTACCTAATTGTTTTTTAATAAAGTAATTTCTTGCTTTGCTTTGAATTTCATGTTCGGTCTGTTGTTTTTTTTTGCTTATATTCCTTGCAATTTAATGGTTGATAACAGTTCAGCTTGCTTTCCTAAACCATTTGATACATAGGTGAAAAAGTATAAAGAACCATACAGACTTGACTTGAACCAATGTACATTTATTTTGGTTTCAGGGTGATTTAGCCCACATTAAAAAATGTTTGCTCCCATGGTCCCATTGTGTGCAATGGGACCATTGGGACCAGCTGCAAGTTCATTCTGAAGTGAGTGAATGAAGGATATTTAAAAGTAAACTTTCAAATATCGTAATATATTACCTTAAAGCTGCAGCATACATGTTGAGATACAAAAGAACAATGTTTTGATGCTTAAAACTGATGATAAAAACATTATCTTGCACACTAAATGCCTTAACACAGTGATATAAATCCTGTTTGAATTCCTTGAACTATGATAAATAAATCAAATAAAATGTAACTATGTATAAGAATTCAGCATTTGTAAATGTTTGCAGTTTTCTTTGCATCTTGTTAAATGTCGGATGAACCCATGTGGAATGTGTTTTAGATAATGTTGCGCTGTCTGATGTTTAATGAAATTATGTTTGAATAAACCAAATCTCATTCAAATTTTGGATTATTTTGAGATGGTTCAGGACTGAGATAGACAACGTTGGTATTTGTATGCTGAGATAAGAAACTCTATTAACTCTATCAAGTTTTGATGCACAGTGTGAGCATGTGCCATTGGTCTGGATGATTTACTCACCGACATGTTCAGCCTTTCCCTTAGCCAGAGTACCATTCCCCTTTCCCATGAAAAAACTACATCTCCCTGAATGATTACATACTTGTATTCCTAAAACTTCATGTAGTGTTTTGAGAGGCTGTTTACACCCACATTTAGAGGAGCATATCAGATTGCCTGCATCCCTTGCAGTATATCTAGGGGTTAACCAATTCCAACTGAGATACTATTGCTCCTACATTTCATTATTCCATCTGCTCCTTGGAAAGAAATGTTTTTTCTGGATTACAGTGTCGTCCTTAGCATATTCATATCACAACAATTCAGCATAAATCACAGTATTTGGCTTGCAAACCACCAATAAAAGGCTCCTAGATTTTCTGCATGGCTGGCCTCAGAAGGATTTGTAATACGGCTTAATTCAGAATTTTCATAGGCATGGACACTACAGGAATGCGTCCTCAGACCTAGCCTATACACCTTGTTCAAAGAAAAGTGTTTTACTTCCCACAAGGAAAACTTCATCAAAACAATTGTAGATGACACCACTGTGTCAGGACAAGGTAAAGTAAAGAAGGTGAACTTAAGGTTTCTGTTTCTGTTTTTACTTTGGTGTTTAAACCTAATTACTTTTTTCACAAGGAATGGCCCAATATGAGCAGCAAGTGACACTGAGAATCATCCAGCATTTTCCCCTGTACATGAGACATATGGAAAAGGATAACAGAAAATAAAATGTCCTGCTGTGGTTTCATAGAGGTTGATAGAGGTATGCTGCATTACGTACTTTCTTTGTTTATGACAACTCTTATCCGTTTACTGGTAAATCCATTCAGAAAACCACATCAGTATCTCTCACAAGTGAGCAAACCACATCAGTATCTCTCACAAGTGAGCAAACCACATCATTATCTCTCACAAGTGAGCAAATCACATCAGTATCTCTGACAAGTAAACCAAGACTCATGTTTCCTGCTGGAAAAGATATGACTTTGGATCAAACGCCATAAGTATGAAAGCACTCTAAAGAACCTGGGCCCCTACATCAGCCATGCCAACCCCGTTGGGAATTAGCAGAAAATAAAATTAATATGTCCATGAGGTGTATGTGACAAAAGACTTTTAATAAATCAATTATTAGGAAATAAATTGGTTTACGTAATAGAGTTAGATAATATATATATATATATATTGGATATAAGAACACCCAGTACTGCTAAAATAAGCTGTATGTGGATGTGAAATGATGCTGCTTTGTGAAAATGCTCTTCTTGTTACAATTACACAACTCCCTTGTTCTATACAACCAACAACTCTTTTCCTCTACACACAGACATATGAGGATATATGAGA